GATTGGTTCATTCCTCAACTCGGTGGTATAACCATCTTGCTCTCTCTTTACATTACCACAAACTAGTTGTCAAGCTCTTTAGTGAAGCTAGTCGTGAGAGCTTGTTAGTTTGGTTAGTGTGCCTCTTTAGTTAGCCTTTGAGAGCACACTAACTTAGTGTAGTGACATAGCCATTGTGTGGATAGAGACTATAGAAACTAGAATTATGGTAGGTGGCTTGCATTTTTAGTAGGCTAGCACAACACTCGCTTTGCCTCATATTTATCTAACCGGTTTGCTAAGTATTGTTGTAGAAATTTTTAATAGGCTATTCATCCCCCTCTAGCCATTAGGACCTTTCACCATGGCGGCCCAATCGATGTGGATGTGGTAGTCATCATAGAAATGGAGGAATTTCTTCTCGGTGAACTGTGCCGCCGTTGTCCGTGATGATCGAGTTTGGGACTCCAAAGCGGTGGATGATGTCGAGGAAGAACTGCACGGCTTGCTCGGACTTAATCACGGAGATCGGCCAAGCCTCTATCCATTTTGTGAACTTGTCCATGGCGATGAGCAAGTACATGTAGCCCTTAGGTGCTCTTTTGAGAGGCCTGACTAGATCGAGCCCTCAGACCATGAACGACCACGTGATGGGGATCGTATGGAGCGCTTGGGCTAGCAGATGGGTTTGATGAGCGTAATACTAGCACCCTTTGTAGATACGCACAATCTGCTCAGCGTCAGCCACCGCGGTCGGCCAGTAGGAGCCCTGTCGAAACGCATTTCTGACCAGGGTTCTGGGTGTGGCATGATGTCCACAGACCCCACCGTGAATGTCCTTCAACAATTGCCTCCCTTGTTCGACGAGAATGCAACGCTAGGATTCTAGTGTGGCTTCGCTTGTAGAGCTCCCCCTCGACAATGACGAAAGACTTGGCTCGGCGTGCGATCCACCGGGTCTCCATCTTGTCCGTCGGGAGCACTTCGCGAAGAAGCCAATTGAGGTATGAGGTCCTTCAGTCAGCTAGAGGGTCGGGCTCTACCACTGGATCTTTGTCAAGCTCTATCACTTTGGGGTCAAAAGGAGCGGGCAATCGGTCAACCCCTGAGCCTAGGGCAAGCAACTCGTTCTTGGTCTGTCCCTGTTCCTCGTATCGGACCAAAGGCTTGTGCTGATCGCTGGCGAGGATGCCCATCGACACCGGCTCTCGGCTGGACACCATCTTCGCTAGCATGTCAACCGCCTCATTGAGCCACCTCGGAATGTGATTGAGTTTGAGGCCATCGGACTTGTCCTCCAGCTGGCGGACTTCTTAGTAGTAAGCATCCATCTTGGTGTCGTGGCAGCTTGACACCTTCATGATTTGACCAATGACCAGCTGTGAGTTGCCTCAGACATCAAGCCATCGGATGCCGAACTCAATGGCGATGTGTAGTCCGTTGATGAGCACCTTGTATTCGGCCACATTATTGGAGACGGGGAAATAGAGGCAGACCGTGTACTTCATGTGTATCCCAAGGGGCCAAACGAAGACTAATCCTGCGCCGACGCCTCTCTTCATCAGCGACCCATCGAAGTACATCATCCAGTACTCTTGGTCGACGACTGCTGGTGGCATCTAGACCTCGGTCCATTCCGCAACAAAATTGGCTAGCGCTTGGGACTTGATGGTCGTTCAAGGGACATATGAAATGCCCTGACCCATCAGTTCGATGGCCCACTTCATGATTCTCCCTGTTGCGTCCTAGTTTTGGATGACCTTGCCGAGAGGGAAGGACGTCACGACCGTCACCGGGTGTGACTCAAATTAGTGAGGTAGTTTCCTTTTGACGATCAGGATGGAGTACAAGAACTTATGGATTTGAGGGTAGCGAGTCTTGGAGTCGGATAAGACCTCGCTAACAAAGTATACGGTGCGCTGCACTTTGAGGGCGGGTCCCTCTTCCTCCCGCTCTACCACTTGTGTGGTGGCCGCAATGTAGAGCAGGAGCAGCTCTCCATCGATCGGTGGGACCAGGATCGGGGCTTTCATCAGGACTTCCTTGACTTTGTAGAGTGCCTCTTGAGCTTCGGGAGTCCACGCAAACCGGTCGGTCTTCTTTAGAAGCCGGTACAGCGGAGAGGCCTCGTTCACCGAGGCGTGATATGAAATGGCTAAGCACGGCAAGGCATCTCGTGACTCGCTGTACCCCCTTTAGGTTCTGGATTGGGCCCATCCTTGTGATGGTCGTGATCTTCTCCGGGTTGGCTTCGATGCCATGCTCGGAGACAACGAACCCAAGCAACATGCCCCTCGGGACTCTGAAAACACATTTTTTTAGGGTTGAGTTTGATGCCATTTGCTCATAGTTTTGCGAAGGTCTACTCTAGGTAAGCTATGAGCTGGTCGGTCCGTTTGGACTTGACCACGATGTCGTCTACATAGGCCTCAATGGTTTGCCCGATGAGGTCTCCAAAACACTTGAGCATACATCGATAGTATGTAGCTCTCGCGTTTTTTAGACCAAAAGGCATCGTGACATAGCAAAATGAACCAAACAGGGTGATAAAAGAATTCACGAGCTGGTCGGACTCTTTCATGGTGATCTAATGGTACCCGGAGTATGCATCAAGGAAGCAGAGGGTTTCACACCCCGAGGTTGAGTCGACTACTTGGTCTATACGTGGCAAAGGAAATGGATCCTTCGGACACGTCTTATTGAGACTCGTGTAGTCAACACACATTCTCCATTTTCTATTTTTTCATACATGGATGGGATTGGCTAACCACTCGGGATGATACACTTCCTTGATGAATCCGGCCACCAAAAGCTTTGTGATCTCTTCGTCGATGGCCCTACGCTTCTCCTCATCAAAGCGACGCAGACGCTACTTCACCGGCTTGATCTTCAAGGCGTGCTCGGTGACTTCCCTAGGAATGCCTGGCATGTCCGAGGGTTTCCACGCGAAGATATCTCTGTTGGCGTGGAGGAAGTCGACGAGCATGCTTTCCTATTTGGAGGAAAGTGTGGTGCCGACACGCACCACTTTGCCCTCAGAGATGCTGGGGTCTATGAGGACCTCCTTGACGCCCTCCGTGGGCTCAAAAGATCTAGCTGATCGCTTGGAGTCGGCGCTTCCTCGGTGGTCCCCTCCTTGATGACCGTGAGCTCCTTGGAGCGGCGATCGCCGAGGCATGCTCACAGCACTCAACTTCATACTCGTAAACGCACTAGAAAGAGGCGCCAGATGGTGATGACTCCATGCGGACCTGGCATCTTGAGCTTCAGGTGGTGTAGTTGGGGATGACCATGAACTTCGCGTAGCATGGTTGTCCTAGGACGGCATGGTAGGTTCCATGGAGTATTATAGCAGAAATAATACCTTGATAAGCACCAGTAGTGCCCTCATCCCTGTAATTAACATTAGTAGAAGCCGGGGTTACGGATGGTTGAGTGACTAGATCAACACTGTATGGCATAAACTTGTTCTAGCATGTTTCCTCTCATGGGTTGTATAGAGGATAAGCTAATGGGTCATAACAACCATGGTATGCTCGGATATATTGCGACGATAATCCATCCTTCCATATACAACCACACTCCTATCAAAACATCTATGTGGATCGTTCCCCTCCATCCAGATAGCATCAACTTGGGCTGCCATTGGGGCATTGTACCTTCTCTGGTCAGGCATGACATTTGAATTGAGTTCAATCAAGTAGTCATCCAAGTTTGGAAAACTACCATTTCTCCTAAAAGTATGGACATATGGGTTATCCTGCAAAATTGTAAGGATATTTCGGATGAGGTTGATATCAAGATCAGGGACCTTTTGACTCTGTGTGACAAGGCCTCATCTTCTATATCATAAAAGTAGAGCTGCAGATGTCGAGGGCCGTGGCCACCTGGCACCAGGTGGTCTAGACGATGGTACAACCTGCCATGAACTCGAAATGTATAAATATCGGTCCCCACTGGAGTGTTATATCTGTGGTCAAGGGTAACCCCTAGACTTGCGAATGTGAAATGCGAGTTGAGATATCGTATATGTTGCCTAAAATATTTTGCATCATCATGCACTTACTTGTGAATAACCTTTTCAGCTCTGCCGAACCTCTGGTGTATGTATTTGTACTTTTCCTTTTCTACAACAAAACCCGGGTGGCTCATACTGAAACCTCATCGCACTACAATAATGGCAGTCAGGGACATTTCTCAATGTATGTCTTTATGGCAGGTTCTGGTAGATGAATTCATATGGATCATCTATCACACTATGGCCAGCCGCACCCTCCGCAAGCACGCGATATGAATCATAATCATCACTGTGTGGGAAACATTATAACAATCATGTTACTTTACTATATATATATGGTTTATGTAAAGACGTATATAATGAAGTTGGATGCCATAGAGATGCCGTCGTAGTACCTTGCGCATGTCACTGAATGATTCCATCATCATCGTATAAGTTTTCGTTGTGCAATCCATGGCAGCTTCGTCACCGTTTTCACCATTTTGTACAGGTTCGAATAGTTCACGCTCGAATTCATCTTCATTGGTTTCAGCATCTACATGGTTGCCACGCAGATCATTCAAATAAACCTCTGTATATATATATAATATGAGTACAGTAGCATATATATATCCAATATATCCAAATGGCTTATTTTTTAAAAAACAGCATGTGGTTGATGTCCTCGCCTGACTCACCGGTAATAGGGAATGGTGTTTCTTCTTCGCATACCATGCTTAATGTTCCGTTTGTTCTTATAGATGGTCCAGAAAGAACCGTACGTGGGCCTCTACGTCCTGGCACGTAATTATCATTTCTGTGTAGCCACTCTGTGGGATCACTTGACTCATCTTTTTGCTTATATTCTATGGTTGGTGTTTGCACTACTGTTGAGAATGCAGTTTCAAATGTCGCACCTTCACATATGAAGGTAGGTAAATTAGAAGGTGGAGGAAATATCAGAAGGTGGAGGAAATGCATATGTCCAAGATATTATACGCACCTACGGGTGAGGACGTCGGCACTACTTGAGACACAATGAGGCGGTGCTAATATTTTGCGATGCAGCCTTCTTCCGTGCTCGGTACTCACGTTGTTTCCTATTACTCTCTTCCCTTTGTTCATTGGTCATCTCAGCTCTTCGCTTCCGTTGTTGCATGTTCCTTTCTTCCCTCTTAGCATTAGCAATGTTAGCAGGTGTCATTTGTGGGGCTGAGGCATATATTTTTTGTCATTTATAAAAAAAAGGTTTTATTAGTAGAATAAAAGAATGATACTAATTCACAATAAGCTCGAAGTATACCTAGGTCATCTTTGCCGGTGACAACAGATAGTGCACTGTCTCTTATGGTGGTTTCGGCAATGCCAACATGGCTATGATCCCCGTGTGCATCTGGGGGGATATTTTCTTTGTCCAATATAATTGGGGTGTTTTGGTCCATGCTGGAATAATTATTTCCTGCAAATTGATTGTTACACAAAACACATGAACAAATATATTGAACACCCAATACAGCATGTCTTAATTAAAGGCGTACCTGATATTTGTTGGTTCATTGGTGTCTGATCGCTTACCAGACCATGGGGCCGCGTAGCATCTGCTGCCAACGTGGATGACGTTGCATTGATGATGGCATTTAGATTATCCGGTTGAACCTTCTTCATCGCCCGTTGTTCACGTCGCTTCCTGTTCATCTCCTCTCTTTGTTCATTGGTCATCTCATTTCGCCTTTTACGTTGTTGTTGGTTCCGTTCTTCCCTCCTACGCTCAGCTTCATCTGCAGGTGATATATGTATGTAGATATTTTTGTTTGGTAATTTTGTAATAATCTAATCACACATGGTAGCAGCTATACCTGCACTGATGTTGTTTGTGACATTCCTCAGTGCACGTTGCCCTTCGGGATTGGCCATAATTATTTCCCAAGCTGCTAATAATAACCCCTACAATTGATCAAATAAGCATACATTTAAATGGGCAATTTAATTCCCCTACAGATTGTTATAAAAGCACACACAATATTTAAGTCTTTTTACATAGATATTCAGAGAGGATGCATGCTATGACATAATGGACACCTTGTAACCCATTATACTCAGATAGGATGTAGCTAAATATTAAGTGTCATCTGGGGCTTCGAGCGCAGATGGAATTTTCTTCATTTATTTTTTGAGTGAATGGGCATGACATATGATTCAGATGTAGTATAACCTTGAATTACCAGATGGAATTAACAGATGGCATGACATATGATTCAGAGAAGCGTTGCATCATATATGATTCATGTATGCCCTTGCTAACGCTACAGGAAAACCAAAAGATAAATTTTTTTAAAGGAAGAGGAAAATAATAATGTCAAAAGTCAGAAGCGTAAGATTAACACGAGAAAAGACCCCGCATATATAACGCCGTTATGAAATTCTTTGCCACGTTATTGAAATTTGTACCAGAGAGAAGAGATACAAGGATATACTCATTCCTTCCTTCTAATCAGCAATCACATCCAAGCTTTGAGTACAAGTGTAAAACTCACATACATTGTAAAGAAAAATGCCGCCTTTCCTTTCTTTGGTACATAAAAATGGATGGGGACGTAACACCTATATTCCTAAAATAAGAAACACTAAGCTAGCAATGTTTTCATTTTCAAATAACAAACCTTTCCAATAAAATAGAAAATAATACATTAGTGGTTAAATATTGACATTGCGAGCCCATTACAACAATCTTATATTTATTTAGAGAAAAGCGATAAACACCTCATATCAACCCTATACTTCCAGAACAAAATTCTTAAAAATATTCTAGCAGACCTACATCATTGTAGCAATGATCATATTTTGTTCCTATTCCTCCTCTCCAATGCGTACTGGTGATAGAACTTTGTATTGCGTGTTGCTTCTAGTATAAGTCCTTTCGTTCCTCCTCCAGCCTCTCTAGCAATGATCATATAGTAGAATACGTAATAGTACTGGAGAACTCAAATAAGAAAACCACAGAGAGATCGCTAACTGGTAACATCAATGACAATCACCGATGACAACTGCCTGCAATTATAATAAAAACTATGAATCCCATGCCATTAACAGAAAAAACCCTGCCAAACTATTTGTCTAGTGGGATTCACAAATGTGTAGTATCTGTGCCAAAAAAATAAACATAACGGATGCCACAATCCAATTTTTCTTTAATAGATATGCATGCGGTAGTTACTCAAACAAAAATTGTCAAGCATTATCCGGGTGCCATCCGAGAATGGCTTGAGGTCGCTGGGGTTAAACAAGTAATCAATATCCCAAAAATTTAGTTTTGCTGGGGGAAACATCTACTCTAAAGTGAATGAAACAACACAGAAGTGAAGCCCTCGAACCACATCACAAGAATGCACATAAAGAAAGCATTACTTACCCTTTCTTTACAGACACTTTAATTTTGATCAACAAGATAAGGATCTTCTCTGATGATAAACAGAAGGTAAAACCAGCATTGGTTTAGAAAATCGCAAAAGGACATCTCTCACCACTTACCAAGTTATCGGATCCAAAATGATGGTGGCTGAGGGATTCTGCCAGCCGAGCTAAAGTCTCCGTATGTTATCTCCCAACAAAGTGAGCTATGAATGCCAGCTTATCAGTTCGTCTTTATCATAATCTGATGAAAAATCCATGTTGCGTCAGCAAGAAGAAACCTGCAATTTGGCATTTGCAGGACGCCATGGGTTGAAAATAAAATGTTAAGAGAAATAAATGCAATTCCTAAACAATTCTTGAAATCATTATAGTCGACATCACAAGCACACTGCAAGAACAATAATCAAACCAAAACCAAGAGAGCTGCCAGCCTTCTTCTTCCTCTGCTGCTGCTGGTAGTGCTCGTTGCCATTGCTGTGACGTGGGCACGTCAAGCTGCACGAAATCAAAAAGCGCGTGTGCTCACTCGTGTGATGGCCGTGTTAGCCACCAGCACAATAAGCCGCATGCTCGCCTGTCCGCTTGGCATGTCGGTACATCATTATATGAATTATTCAGTGACACATTAAAAAATTCAGTGCCACATAAAAAAAATCTTCTAATAATCTAAAGCCATAGAAGTCTATAATGTAATAAATCAGTTTTGCATACCATATGTGTTATGCACTTTTGCTGTTCGTGCCAATTGCAGATCGCCGATCACCAATCCTGCCTCCTGTTGTGATTAATCCCTAGGGACGAAATTGGAGAATGAAAGGACAAGGAGAAACGTGAGTACGTGACTAAAGGAGAGTAGGCGGCAGCTAGCAGCAGGCTAATTGGCTTTGGCTGTTGTTGAGTCTTCGTATCAAGATTCAGATGTACGTGTACCTGCAGGGCTGCTACTCCGCGTTTTGCATCATATCGTAGTTCGTGGAGTTGCCCGATGCCCGATGGCCGTGCTCGGCGTCGCCGCGTTGCCCGCTCCTACGGCTGTACCACATGCACATAGAAGAATCCGATGGGAGCCGCTTGGTCGCCGCCTTGGTCTGCGCTCGCCGCGTCCGCCGCCGCCGTTTCGCGAGTCTCGCCGAGTGCCACGCCGGCCCGCGCCCTGCTCGCCGCGTCCGCCAACGACGTTTCTCGACCCCGGTCCTTCAAGTCCTGCTTTCGCCCGCGTCCACCACCGCCGCGCAGCACACAACCGGTCTGCGGCAATGAAGGGCAAAGCGAGGGGCGGGAGGAGGAGGATGGCCAGGGTTCAGCGTGAGATATGGGAGACAGGACAGAATGAGAATGCGCTAGCTCGGTCACCATCCTTTATCCTTTACCACGGTCCATGGCAGCAATTCCTTCCTTCCTTTCTCACGAGCTCCTTCCTTTATCGCTCGGCGCTGATCGTGGGTGAGGTAGCCGCGGCTCGAGCCATCACGCGCCGCGCTGATGACGGGCGCGGGGTCGCGGCGTGGGGGTGCGATGAAGCCTGGCTTCACCACCAAAACAACTTAGGCCATCTGATCGTGGCGAAGTTTCATGAGAATATATCTCAGCCATTTATTTCTAAAAGACATGATTTTCTGGTCGCACGAAATGGGGTAGATATAGCAAAAACCATTTCTATGGGGGACAAATTCCTGGGTGGACCGAGTATATAACTCAACGTTGCACAAGTGGAAACTCAAAAAAAAAAGTTGCACAAGTAAGGTCATGTCAAAGATAGAAAATTGATTCTTTGATGAGGAATGAAGACATACATGCTGAGGAGGGAACTCATATAGCTATAGGATGTTTTGAAGCTAATTAAAGGTTGGATTAGCTAGCGCTAGTTAATAGTTGGGGCTAAAAGTTAGCTTAAGTTATTTGGAATTGACTAGCTAGCTAGCTAGCTAGCTGGCTAACAACCGTTCTCTTTGTTCTAAACTGTGCTATGACTTCTAAAATTTATACTAAAATATATCTCATTCTATGTGGTACCTAAGCTCATATTTTGTACTAAAACTGCTTAATTAGGTTTAATCTATGGGTATATGTATCATTTGAGTATTTCGTTAAATTGTCTTAAAAATTTTAGAGTGCATTATATTGTAAGACGGGAGTAGCTGTAAACTTGACTAGCAATTAATCCAATACATCTAAACAAGACCTTAAACCGAACTCGGTACCAATATGTTTGCATTGAATTTATAAGTATTATGGCCCAAAGTCATTTGCTTCTCCACAGGGCTCGCCAGTGACCAGCTCATGCTAGGCGGCAAGGCTATTCACCCAATGTCACGCCCCCCTATGTTAACCTCAAACGAACTCCAATGAAGGCACCCGCAGCCGGAACAGCGTGGGTCTTTCTTTTGCTCGACTAGTGCAACTTGGTCTTGGTGCAAGTGCAGTCGTGGTTAATTCCAGCGATAAATTTTAATGTATAAATTATATTGATAAACAAGATTAGCATCAAAGGGCATTTGGTCTAGTGGTATGATTCTCGCTTAGGGTGCGAGAGGTCCCGAGTTCAATTCTCGGAATGCCCCATATACGTGCATTTTTATTTTTTTTAAAAATTTCCTCATTAGCTGCAATAGGCATTTCATGGTTTCCCTTCCAACATCGAGCTCTATGAACGGCTGAAAACGAGAATTGCTCCATACTATATATACAATATATATTTTATTTTTTAATTTCCTCATTAGCTGCAATAGGTATTTCATGGTTTCCCTTTCCAACCTTGAGATCTATGAACGGCTGAACAAAGAACTTACAAAAACTTATTCTGCTGTTTATTATATAATATGAACGTACGTCCAGCATCTACAACAAACCATCCTTATTTCTCAAATTACTAAAAACAGAACACGCATTGTGGGATAACACTAACATCCGGTATCTCTAATCACAGGTTCAGTAAAAGATATTCTACATCTCTACCCACAAATCTACGTGTAGATATCCATTTCTATAGATTTGCAGGCAGACGCTTATTGCATCCTTTAGAACTCAAGTGCAAATGCACATCATCATGGTGACTCATCATGGCTTATTTCCAGACATAGATGCCAGTGGCAACAACACAAACTCACACCATCATGTTTCCGGAGTCCTATCAAACATTTCCTTGGACGGCCTTGTAGCATTTGAGGCTGCAGAGGGGGAGGTTCAGCTTGGAGTGCCTGTACTTGTAATCGTTGGTGCACGATGGCCCAGCGCATTTCTCCCGTGGAGGAGGGTAGCTGCTCGTTGCCACAAATGTAGATGAGGTGCCGTAAAGTCATGGCTTTAGCACAATTTCGGGGGACAAACATGCAAAGGATTAAGGATGTGAGGATGACCTGTGAGGCTTGGAGTGGAAGATGCTGGGGAGGCCTACTGCATGTGGAAACGAAATAACGGTTCCGGTGGGCCCCATGACCCAGCGGACCGAGTTTGCCGCGATGTTTTGTGCTCTGGTAGCTCGCTCCTGTATTAAGAAAATGATTTGCTCAGCAAGGTGCGACCGCTAGTATTAATAGAACACCAATAGGCACAACAGAGCAAGACCAAATGATCATCAAACCTTCTCTTCTCGCTCCTTTTGCTTCCTCTCTTCTTTCTTCTTGTCAGAGTCTATGCCCAATATTTTCCTTATAGCTTCCGCCTGCAGAGATGAAAGATCAAACATAGTTGATGACCCCTGGAAACCGAAACATGTCAAATATTGATTGAAAAGGTGAGAAAATATTTCTCTCCTACCTCACTTTCTTTAGTGGCTTTTTCCACCTGCATCCTGCGTCGTTGAGCAGCTTCAGCCTTCTTTGCAAGCATTTCCTCTTCAGAAAGCTTGTCCTTCTTGCCTGGTCCAACAGAAATATGTTTCAAATGCGTTTAGCAGAAGAACAAAGTTTGATGCTTTAACCAAATTGAACTGCACAAAACAGAAGGCAAAGGATAGTATGTACTTCTCGAAGGGGCTGGAGGCAGACCATCAGGGAACTCAACAGTACTGCTGCTGCTGCCATCCATCCATGATTGAAGGGCACGGCGGCGTGTTGTGAGAGGTTCACTTCTAACATTGACAGGTGACTCAATCGCTGTTTTTTGTTCGGTGTCTTCGACGTCAGGTTCACTGTCTGAGGTTGGTTCTTCTTCAGTATTATCATCATCAGCTGATTCTCTAGATCTTTTCTTGCCAGATCGGGAAGTAACAAAATCATTATCAGCCCCATACACCTTGCTCCTATTTTTCCCTTTCTTTGAGGTGCTCTTCTTAGAGATATTTCCTTTGCTCTTAGGCTCACGAGTACTATCCCAATCTTCAGGAGTTCCAAGATTGCTTGTATCATAGTCCTCATCAAATTCATTGTCCACAGACTTCTTAGCAAGCCTCCTACTCTTCCGGACAGGATCTGAAGAAGGTTCTCTCTGAACTTTGCCTGCTTGCTCCTGCGCCATTGTTTCTTCAATTGACCTCTCCTTTCGGGCTTTCTTGTCTCGTGAAGAGGTTGACCTGTCAGAATCTTTTGCGCCTTCGGTCTACAAGCAGTTCACCCTTTCAAATCAGTTGCCAATTGTGTATAGCATCTTGAAATAACAAAATAAGATATTTGGCTATTTGCAAACGAGACATTCTTGCTACATGCCTAGAATGTTGAGACAAATATCTGCAAGTTTGTCTTTGTGTTAGCAAAATCAGCTAGTTTTCTTTTTTATTTCAAAAGGTGGCTAGTCTTCTCCCAGAACTAAATTATGTGGCGATTTGGTGCAAATGCAAGCACAATACAAGATGAAAACATAATTCAAAGCACTCACCAGATGGCCATGCTTTTGCTGGTGCCGCGAATCTACAGGCCGTGGAGGCTTCGCTGGCGGCGTATCAGGGTTCGGTTTCGGTAACACGTTACGAATCTTGAGCTTCACCTTCCCCAGCTTCTCACCAGCCGGCGACGAACCGCGGTTCCCCTCAGGGGCATGCGCACCATGGCTGCTGCTACCCTCGCTCTTCCTGGAGCCACCGGCCGCGGCCTCGGAACGCAGCCCGATGCTGCCCTTGGTCGCGCGCTCCGGCGACGGAGCGTTCAGGAGGAACTCACGCCTACGGTTGCTCCCGTCGGGGCCGGTGGCGTTCTCGTCCGAAGTCAACAGCAGCCTCCTCGGCCCGCTCCTGGACAACGCCGACGGTGACGGAGGGGAGGTGTTGCCCCGCTGCTCCGCGGCAGGGCCGCCGCCCTCCGGCCTCGGCCGCCTCGCCGCGCTGCTCCGCCGCCTCTTCATGTGTGCCGCGTCGAATCCGGAGCCCTCGCCGCCTTCCATCTGACCGGAATCTGGACGTGAGGGGAAAGGGGGAGAGACACCGTGAGTTCGTTGGCCACCAAATTCGTCAAAGGAAAATACTGCAGAGCGTGTAAAATGTAGATTAGGATTTAGGAACCCGGAATTGGAAAGAGACGAACCTGAGACGGGTAGGGTCACGGAAGGATCCGAGACGCTCCGACGAGGGCTACGTGACCTCTCTGCCGCCGCCGCCGCCGGTGGAGGAGGTCCGAGAAGAGGGTCGTTTGGATTCGTACGGCGAAGTGGGTGACGGAGAGGGCGGAATGTAATTTTCAGTGCATTTTTTACTTTAATACCTGTGCTTATAGAAATTTCAGAAACAGCCATTGCACTTTCTTAACACATAAGATTTTTTTTTCAAATATATGAATAAACAGTTAAGAAGCTAACATGTAAGGAAAGGAGAGATAACTATAGAGAAAATAAAATTTCAATAAGCTATTCAAAAAAGTTAATCAGTTAGAAGAGTTCATTTAGAATATTGGCCATGTTCGCTTTGTTGAAAAGCCATGGCTGAAAATATTGCTCGCTGATTTGTTGAGAGAAAAAAATATTGTTCGTTCGCTGAAATAGTACGGGCCATTGTTTGTCTGCATTTGTTATGTATCTCCTACATTTGTGTGGGTTTCAGAGCACATATCAAGAACATTTGTTCGTGATTTTTGGGCTGGCATTGAAGCGCATGGGGGATGGAGATCCCATGCCCAATATTTTAGATTGTCAAATAGTATCCATGTGATCTTTTTCTATTTTTCTTCTATTCCATGTCTTTTATTTTTGTTTCCCCTTCTGCTTTGTTCTATCTTTTATTGTTTTTCTATTAATGTTTTGTTATGTTATGTTATTTGCTTGTTTCTATATATTTCTCTACCATCTTAGAGTGATATTCACTTGAACTATTTCTTCTAGAATATAATAAGATGCTCACGTTACATTTGGTGTTCCATGATGTATTATTTATTGTTATCATAGTATTTTGAGATATTCTATGATGTATTCTAAAATTTTCAAAGTATTCATGTTTCATATATGTTGTATTTTGCAATGGTTGTATAGTACCTATGAGATATTCTGTAGTGTATTTTTGAGTTGCTAAAATTTACTATCAATATGATGTTCCACAAATATAATGTGAACTGTTCACACGAGACACATGAAATATCTATGTTATATTTTAGCTTGTTCATGTAGTATTCATGTGTGATGCTCAATGGATTATTTCAATTGTTTTTATGGTATCTATTAGATGTTCTCTTTTTTGTTTTACAACTAGACACGACTGATTCACTTGAATGTAGAATTTTATTTTCTAAAATTTGGAGTATTATTATTCTAAATTTAGAACATTTTTCTTCTGAAGACGGAACATTGTTTCTTGATGCTAGAATATTTGCCTTGCCTAATACAAAGAAAATGTTCTATCTCCATGATAAAAATGTTCATTAACGAAATATATTGTCTAAATATACTCAAGTGAGATTTTGTTTTGAAGGTTTCATTGTAATTAGAATTTAATTTAGATGCTCAATTTGTTAACTACAACTTCTTAAGTTTTAAAAATATTTAGGACAACGATGATGTCAACAATTTTTTTTTCACTCCTCTAGATCGAGTTGCATGTGTCCATGCATGCAGGCTCTCTTGTGGAATGATTCCTATTTGGAGAACTATTATTTTTGGAGAGTCTCTTAAACTAGGAGTTTAGATCTAAGTTTTACAGAAACACTCTTAAAGCAGTTGTTCTAAACATGATCAAGTTTTCCATCCATGTTGCCGTCAGTGAACAATCAGTTCTTCGTGATGGTAGAAGGAATGAAGAGGAGGAAAAAAAAAAGAAAACGAAATCAAGAAAGAAGGTACTGCAACATTACAACCGGAACGCTTGCACACTAACTACATCTTCTTCCTGGATATCCATGGTTACACAAGTTTGTTGCATGAGTGAAGCTTCTCTGATGTGTGGAGAGTTAATTATAAGGTGGCGGTATATGTTGTTGCTGTTGCCTAGGAGCTAGCACATGCACAGCTATGGATGATGACCGAACGATATATGGCCGGCCAGTCGATCTAGCGCAAGCCGGCGGCGGTGGCGATGGCGAGGCAGTTGCTGGAGAGCTTGGCGAGCTCGGCGTCGTGCTTGGCCATGACCGGCGTGAGCTCCTCGCGCTCCTCGAACCCCTGGTCGCAGGTGTCGACGTCGGTGCGCACGGTGTCGAGCATGGTGCCCGTGGTGCCGCGGTCGCCGGCGGCGAGCGCCTTCTGGGCCTGGTCGAGGCTGTAGGCGATGTCGTCGAACGACTCGACGCAGTCGAGCAGCGGGTTGCGCGCCAGCGGCTGCGTCTTGGGGTCGCTGGCGAGCGCGGCCGCCGCGGCCTTGGCCTCCGCGGCCTTGGCGCGCACGGCGGACATGGCCAGCCGCAGCACGCCGGCGCCGTCCAGCCGCTTGCCCCCTGGCAGCTGCTGCTGCGGCTGCTTCGCGATGGACGACATGCACAGGTCCGGGTAGTCCGTCTTCAGGCACAGGCTCCGCACGATGTCGGCGCCCGGCGCGATCGGCGTCGGCGGCGCCGGCGCGGGCGTTGGCTTCGGCTTGGGCTTCGCCTTGGCCGGCGCCCCAGGCTTGGTGTGACCCCCGCGCGGAACGCAGACGGCGCCCGCCGGTACTGGCGCCACCGCGGCGGCGAGGAGGAGGCTGAGTAGGAAGCAGGCGAGGAGCGTCGGCGGCGTCGTCATGGCGGAGGAGAGGGGGGAGAAATGGAGGTTACAGTTTGATTACGGTCTGGTGTAAATAGGAGACGTGGTCAATTAATAATGGGTTTATATTAGTTCTGTTTATTTAGTTAATGATTTATTTGAATGTGAGGGAAAGGAGGGGATTGGCTGGCTGCATTTTCCCGGGAAAAGTGGCAGGAACGGTAGCCAGTGAAGGCTACCGGTGAGAAAATAGGAGGGGCAAAAAATAGCAAATGAGCGGTGATGATTAGCTGCTATCTGTTTCTGAGTTTGAATTTCTGAAATACAAAATAATTACAATGGAGGGGGGAAATACAGTGAAAAAGTTTTTAATGCGGGCTTCATAGGACACTAGAAATAATCAAAGAAGGCAGTTTCATCTTTGCAGTATACGTTGTAGTCCTCGCTCGTCACACAAAGTGAAAAGTTTGACGCATTGAATTGGCCGGGTGTTTATAACAAAAAGGATGAGAGTACATTTTATTTTTATTTATTAGGGTTGGTGGTTCTTGGTTGGATAATTTTTCACTCCAAATTCTTCCAAACCATGTGGACTGGGGTGCACCAGATAATCATTTTTAATCCAATCTGGATGTTCATGCTCCAATAAATTGTTATTATGCTAACCCCAATGGGTAGTAGAGTGTATGCACATTAACAACACAATTGCTTGATGGGGCCGAATAACTAGTGTATGTGAATTGTATTGCTTGTGCCAACATGAGTAGGTGAGATGCTTGATGATGAGGTTCTATGGAAAATATCCTGTCTAGCTAGCCACCCTATTTTCCTTATATAGCTTTGGGTATATAGTCAAGTTTGATCTTTTGTTTTAGGACTAGCTTCTTAGTCCTATTATAATAGGATTCCTGATGGACTGACATTTTTTTTAAACGAACCGGCAGGAGAGCTGACTGTTATATTAAAAAAGGAGAAAGCCAAAGATGGCTACAGTAACACTGTACAAGGCGCTTTAGCCTGCCACGCCCCCAAAATAAAATATACCCAGAAAAGGATCAAGAATTGCTCCGGCCGCTTTCCAAAGCCTTGCTTCATCTCTAATCTTGTTTAGTACTTGTTGATTTGTTGCGCCATTATGCTCGAAAATTCTTGCATTTCTTTCCTTCCACACTTCCCAACACACTAAGATGATCATATGTATATCTATGATTCTATGCCTTTGTGTAGCATGATGGTGAAGATACCCTATATAGATGCAGAACTCTAAATTATTGACCCGGTGCACCCTATATCTAGGGGACTAGATATGTGATGATACCATGGGGGAGTTGACAATATCGTCGACACTCATTATACCGCTATATTCATATTTCAAATATCGAAGATTTGGTTTTATAATAATTGAGAATATATTATAAGACTTTGTAATATGCCTTATAAATTCTTTCTAAGACCTCACCTTACAAATACTCATTTGGTTTTATAATAATTGGCAATATCGATTGGGCCAAACTTTGTAGGACTCACGTTTACTCTCATAATTCAGTATGAAAAAGTCGGAAATGCAATACAGAGAATATTTGTGGTGGCTGGGTATCTAAACTTGGATTCAATTATAACCATATTTGTGGTGATGAACAGGGTATCTAACTGAATAGTTTCTTATTTAACTGTGTTTCACAAAAAAGAAAAGAAAAGAATTTGCTTATTCGGTTTTAGTGTTAGTCAGAATGTACACTCAAGGCTCAGAAAAGCCTTAGATTCCTTCACCTTCCATTGTGCTAACTTCAGTAGACATGTTATCCTTTTCTGGATTTCGACAAATTTGTTGAAGAGTTCTTTTATAAACAAATTTGTTGAAGAGTTGTGTCTTCCATACCAAGGAAATATTATCAGTTAACTATGTAGTTTACCGCACATCTTTATATTTGTTGTAGTGATCAAAATAGATCTCGCTTAAGAAACTGCATACCATTTTGATTCCAGGTTTTGCTTGAATGCACACATGGAATCGATTATGCCGCACAATGTGTGGTTTTGATAGCTCCACATGACCTACATTGTATAAGTTTCTGCAACATACACAAAGATGTTTGTGATGGTTTTAATAGCTCTAACTTCAGTTTTTAAAATAAAGCTTCCTTTATCTAAAAAAAAGATAAAATGTTTGAGATAATTAATACTATGACATGCCGTTTGTCAAGGAGCTAATTAATTAAAACTTCATTTCTTCAAATGGGGCATATAGGTTACTGAAACAAACATAAAAAATAATGTCAAGAACT